GAACGCGCGAGATGCGGTCCATCGACGGGCTGGGATTTCGGGAGCTTCCTCCTGCAGGTGCCGAAGCACTCGTACGCTGTCCAACTGCGCGCCAAAATGCCGAGGTCCAAGTAACCTGCGCATATTGCGTGTGTGTGTGTGTGTGTGTTATGTTCCTTCCCTTCGTCACGCGCTCCGTCTCCTGGGCGCTGCTGACGTGGCCCTGCCGCGGAAACTTCACGCTGCACACCGCGCGCGTGAGCTGTCTTCCCAAACGCTTCGCCGCGTCGGCCACTCCCTTCGCGGTGATGCCGTTTTTTTCACATGGCCCACACCTTACATTTTTCCCCTGCGCGCACGATTCTCTTGCACTTTCTTGGGGTTCAAATGGCCCGTGTCCCAGAACGTCGCCCAGCATCCTGGCGCGCAGCACTTCAACGGCTCCGCCTTTGTCTCTGCTTTTCGCTTGCAACTGTTCGGCGCAAGCGTGGACGTCTGACGTTCCTCCGCGCATCTTCGACGGAGCCGTTTCCTGGCTGCGCCGTGTCTCTGCGCCTCCGACATCTCCACCCTCGCCTGGAAAAAACGCCAGGCACTTGCCGCTCGAACATCGCAATTTGCCGGTGCTCTCGTTCCATTTTGCGTTGCTACCGGGCGACAGCATGTTTGCTTTCACGTGGCTGAATTTCCCGCAACGAATGGTCCGAATTAATTTCCGCTCCTCCTCCTCCTCCTCCTCCGCCTTCGTTGTCCAAACTCTGCATGTGTGGCACCACCTCCTGCTCTTCCCCTGCCTCCTCCTCTTCCTCCTCCTGCCTGCGCCTCCTCCGGCTCCTCCTCCTCCTCCTCCTCCTCCATCTCCTCCTCCTCCTCCTCCTCCTCCTTCTCCTCCTCCTCCTCCCCCTCCTTCTCCTCCTCCTCTTCCTCCTCCTGCCCGCGCCTCCTCCCGCCTCCCCCCGCCTCCTCCTGCGTTTCCTCCTCCCTCCGCGGCCGCCCCCGCCGCGCGCCAGCACGCCCCCAAGACTGCACAGGAGGCCTTTAAGACACCCAAGATGGCCTCCACGACGGCCCTGGAGCATTCCAAGAGGGCCCCAAGTCGGCCCAGAGAGGCCCCCCGAACGGCTTCCGACGGCGTCAGACGGACCAGGAGCCCACCAAGACGGCCGAACATGGCCCTGAGATGGCCCAAGACGGCCCAAGAGGCCTCCAAGAGGGCCTCCACGAAGGCCCGAAAAGGCCAAAATCATTGATTTCCCTGTTTGTTTGTTTTGCTTCTTCATTCTCAACCCTGCATCATCTGTTCACTCTGCCACCTGCCGTCCACCAGGAGACAACCCCGGTGGCACACAACCGCAGTCATACCAGCGGGGGGCAGCGACACAATCTCGCTCTGGAGATGCCTCGTTTCAAAACTGTCTCACGGCCGGGATGTATAGAAGAACAAATAGCCACGTCGAACAAGAAACTGCTGACAGCACCTCCGTGCCCCAGGCTCCAGGCCACGGCGGGTCTGCATGCCAGGCTTTATACCGCATCTGCTCATTCACTATCTTCATTGATTTCCCATGGGTTTTTGAAGGATTGTGGCATTTGCATTTTGTCTGCCTTCCGACGGCACGAGATGGCCCAAGTGGCCCCAAAGATCGCGCAAGAGACCCAAGACACTGCCCCAAGAGGCCCCCAAGACGGCCCAAGAGGCCTCCAAGACGTCCTCCAAGAAGGCCCGAAGGGTCAAAATGGCCTCCAGACGGCCAAGATGACCTTCAAGATGCCCACGTGTTCCCCGAAGGCTTTCCAAATCGACTCGGGGAACACATGGTCCGATAGCTTGGCAGGTCTGGCCTCAACGTTCGGCCACATAGGCGCTTCCAAAAAGGCAGGGAGCCGCGGTGATTCGCCGTAGGCGTCTTCGAGCCTTTTTTTGGTATTTTGACAGATGCTCGCCGTCTGTGAACGCGGGGTTCCCCCCTCTTCCCCATGCGTGCACGGCGGACACTGAAAATGTCAGCCGCAGAAAAGACAATGAACCCAAGAAACATACATCGGGGTTCTGACACTGCCCCTCCAGGAGTCCTCCTCCTCCTCCTCCGTTTCGTCCTCCGCCTCCTCCACCTCCTCCTCCTCCCCCTACTTCTCCTTCTCCACATCCCCCTCCTTCTCCTGTTCCCCCCTGCGGCCCCGAGCATTCGCGTGCTGCCACCAGCGCTGCAGCGGGCCTCACGCGCACGACCTGCACTTGAGGGCGCCGTTCTGGTGGGAACGCGCGAGATGCGGTCCATCGACGGGCTGGGATTTCGGGAGCTTCCTCCTGCAGGTGCCGAAGCACTCGTACGCTTTCCAACTGCGCGCCAAAATGCCGAGGTCCAAGTAACCTGCGCATATTGCGTGTGTGTGTGTGTGTGTGTGTGTGTTATGTTCATTCCCTTCGTCACGCGCTCCGTCTCCTGGGCGCTGTTGACGTGGCCCTGCCGCGGAAACTTCACGCTGCACACCGCGCGCGTGAGCTGTCTTCCCAAACGCTTCGCCGCGTCGGCCACTCCCTTCGCGGTGATGCCGTTTTTTTCACATGGCCCACACCTTACATTTTTCCCCTGCGCGCACGATTCTCTTGCACTTTCTTGGGGTTCAAATGGCCCGTGTCCCAGAACGTCGCCCAGCATCCTGGCGCGCAGCACTTCAACGGCTCCGCCTTTGTCTCTGCTTTTCGCTTGCAACTGTTCGGCGCAAGCGTGGACGTCTGACGTTCCTCCGCGCTTTCACAGAGCCACGGTTTTCTCCTTTCAAAAAATCCCTCCCTTTCCCCCTCCCTGGCTGCGCCGTGTCTCTGCGCCTCCGACATCTCCACCCTCGCCTGGAAAAGAAACGGGCGCCAGGCACTTGCCGCCTCGAACATCGCAATTTTGCCGGTGGCTCTCGATCCATTTTGCGTTTGCTACCAGGCGACAGCATTGTTTGCTTTCACGTGGCTGAATTTCCCGCAACGATGGTCCGAATTATTTCCGCTCCTCCTCCTCCTCCTCTCCTCCTCCTCCGCCTTCGTTGTCCAACTCTGCATGTGTTGCACCACCTCCTGCTCCTTCCCCTGCCTCCTCCTCTTCCTCCCTCCTGCCTGCGCCTCCTCGGCTCCTCCTCCTTCCTCCTCCTCCTCCATCCCTCCCTCCTCCTCCACTCCTCCTTCCCTCCTCCTCCTCCCCCTCCTTCTCCTCCTCCTCTTCCTCCTCCTGCCCGCGCCTCCTCCCGCCTCCCCCCGCCTCCTCCTGCGTTTCCTCCTCCCTCCGCGGCCGCCCCCGCCGCGCGCCAGCACGCCGCCCGTTGGGCAAGTTTCCGCCGCCCCTCCGCAAGTTTCCGCCGCCCCCCCCCTTCTTGCCAGCCTCGAACTGATCCCTATCCCTGAGATTGACACGCCAAAGAGCGATGGCAATCTCAGGGATGCGCCCTCAAAAAGTAAGGGAATCCCTAAGATTGGCATCGTGATGAGGAGATGCCCAGCATAGGGACAGGGATATGTTCCAGGCTGGTAACTTTCCCCCCTCCCGGTCACGCGCTTCCCGCGCGAGCGCTGCTCCCTGCCAGCTGTGCGTGGCCGCCCGCAGCGCTCTCCTGCGAAGTACCATGAGGCCGGCGGACGTGGCGTAAGCCTGTAGAATCTTTCTTGAGTGTCGCGCATGAGCGTGCGCATGCTGCACCAAACGTTGGGCGCAGAATGAATAATTGATGCCCTGGATTTTCTCAGCCCGCCAATGATACACCACGTAATTTCCAGTGTTCCAATCCCCTGGCAAAGCTGGCGCAAGTTTATTCTTTCCCAAAATGACAGCTATCTCTGCTTCGCGAGCGTGTGAAAAATTGAAGTAAATAGGTGAAACGTGGAACCCCTTTATGTACTCCTTCCGTAGTTTAAATATGCCAACATTCGTTGCGCAGTTGACCATTGCCCGTTTCCAGGCACTGAGGTTACGTGGCCCCCACGGATGGGACTCACACTTGTCGCTGGACTCAACCGTCATGCAAAACACAACTTCTGGGTGCAGGTCACCCTTCGCTGGACTGAACGCATCGAGGCCCAAGCTTGCCATATCAAAATACTCAGACAACGGCAATGGATCAGACACGTTCTTCGTGCATGGAACCATTCTTCCGTCTTTAGCACAAGGCATCACGCCAATCCGGCCACTGCTTGTTGTCAGAAAGCGATATTGCGCCAAAGTTATGGGAAACGTGCCCATTCCTTCTCCAGTGCTCATCAAGATCAGTCGCGCACAATTTGGTAAGGGCACATGTGAGGAAACATGTCTCTGGTGAGCCATGCATCCCTGCGACGCAGAAAGTGGTAAGGGCACACGTGCGGAAACATGTTGCTGGTGAGCATTGAATTCCTGCGACGCGTCGTGTGCGACAACGATAGAATATGTTATCCCGATACACAAGGCAAGACATACGCCAGCCGACGCCAAAATTATAATTAATCTTGCCTTGCTATCCCCCCGCTTCAACTCAAAAACTGCTGAAACCAAAGGCTGGGTTTCGACTCTGGCTGCAACACCACTGCTTCCACTGGGTAACATCGCCCTAAGCCTGCCGTCTTCCTCCAATGGCCAGCACCGTACTTAACTTGAGCCCATGTGCCCAACTTGAAGCTGACCTTGTCGGAAGTCTGGACTTCCTTCTTGGGCCAAAAATGGTTAAGCCAAAAGATACCGATGCCGCTACTCCCCGGACCTCTCCAAGGGCGCGTTCAGACCCAGCATTTCATCGCGACTCCAGCGGTGGCGACGAGGGCCTCCCGGGAGGCCCAAGAGGGGGAAAACGGGCATAGAGAGTAGCGGTATTGGTCCCGCTTCTTGGCGGCGCGCAGAGGGGGGTAGGGGGAGGGGGGAAAGCTTCTTAGGAGGAAGCTGCTTCTTAGAAGGCCGGCATTACATCCTACAGACAAGGCACGCGCCTTCTGAGAAGCAGGGGTGCTTCTAAGAAGCCTACCCCCCTCCCCCCACCCCCCTCTGCGCGCCGCCAAGCTTCCTCCTCTGGAACATGTGGGACATCGCACCGTGTCAGGCCGACGGCCGCACGACACGGTGCAATCCCCGCCCCGCGGCGGATCGGGCAGCGCCCTCTTTCTCTCCAGCCCGGCGCAGCGCCGGGCGCGCCCCCGCTCCGCGGCCTCGTCGATGCAGCTGGCCGACCGGCCAAGGCGCGAGCGGAGGCCGAGAACCCCGCGGGCGAAGAGTGCAAGACGAGGCCAGGACGAGGATAAACTCGGGCGAGGACGAATCGAGAATCTCTGAGATCCAGCGGCTCTGGAGGATGGCGGCCTTCTCACAGCGTTCCGGGGCGCCCTGGAACGGGCTTGTCCACATCCTGGCCACATCCGAGGCCCAGAAAGCGTGAAACAGATGAGCTTGGGTCGGACGGCAGATGGGGGGGTCAGGAGGCAACTCCTGGGAGGCCATCGGCAGAAGTATGAAGGGCCATAGGCCCAATCAGGGCCGGATCTAAACGTTGTTTTTCGACGTGCTTTCGTTGTGTTGTTCGTTTTGCTCTACATGCTTTCCTGTACCTCCCTGCCGAAACGAAACATGATGGACCCACGAACCCGGAAAGGGATATAGACATATGGAGCATGGACACGTTTTCACGATACCCAACTGGGCAACACCTCACGAAACATCCCACGAGACACTTCACGAAACATCCCACGAGACACCTCACGAAACATTCCACGAGACACCTCACGAAACATTCCACGAGACACCCCACGAAACATTCCACGAGACACCCCACGAAACATTCCACGAGACATCCCACGAAACATTCCACGGGGGTGCGACTGGGTGTGGTTGTGCTGGGGTGTGGTCTTGCTGGGGTGTGGTCGTGCTGGGGGGGTGGTCGTGCTGGGGGGTGGTCGTGCTGGGGCGTGGTCGTGCTGGGGCGTGGTCGTGCTGGGGCGTGGTCGTGCTGGGGTGCGGTCGTGCTGTGGTGAGGTCGTGCTGGGGTGTGGTCGTGCTGGGGTGTGGTCTTGCTGGGGTGGGGTCGTGCTGGGGTGGGGTCCGGCTGGGGTGTGGTCGTGCTGGGGTGTGGTCGTGCTGGGGTGTGGTCGTGCTGGGGTGGGGTCGTGCTTGGGTGGGGTCGGGCTGGGGTGTGGTCGTTCTGGGGTGTGGTCGTGCTGGGGTGTGGTCGGGCTGGGGTGGGGTCGTGCTGGGTCGGGGTCGTGCTGGGGTGTGGTCGTGCTGAAGTGTGGTCGTGGTGGGGTGTGGTCGTGCTGGGGCGTGGTCGTGCTGGGGTGGGGTCGTGCTGGAGTGGGGTCGTGCTGGGGTGTGGTCGTGCTGGGGTGGTCCGCACCCTGTGACTTATCGATCGGGTCGTGCTGGGGTGTGGTCGAGCTGGTGCTGGGGTGTGGTCGTGCTGGGGTGTGGTCGTGCTGGGGTTTGGTCGTGCTGGGGTGTGGTCGTGCTGGGGTGTGGTCGTGCTGGGGCGTGGTCGTGCTGGGCGTGGTCGTGCTGGGGTGTGGTCATGCTGGGGGTGTGGTCGTGCTGAGGTGTCCCGCACCCTGTGATTTATCGATCGGAATTTCAAAAACAAGCGTTTCGCCTGAGACATCCTCAAATTTTAATCCGCCGGCCTCCTTCGACCTCGATATTTATCAGGGAAAGAATCCGCCGGCCTCCTTCAAGTTGGGCACCGGGGACATGTTTACATACTAAAAGAGAACCCTGGGCCAAAGCCCTTTCCGGGAAAAACCAAACACAGCCGAAGTCTAGAATAACAGCGTTTGGGTCCAGCCCTGGGCCCAATTAAGGAGCCACTGAGCCGTAGTAGGCCAGATTAAGCCCGGGACGAAGCCGGCGTGAGCGGGAGTCAGCAGGATTCACTCGGATTCAGCTGGATGACAACCCAGATAGGGCTGGTGTTCGACCAGGGACATACCAGCACCGATTCAGAGTTCAGCCTCCCAGATGTTGCATCTTTATGGGGGGGCATTCGCAGAGGGGGAGTTGGCGAGTTGACTCGCGTACTGCTCGTCTTCCCCGAGCCTGGCGGCACCGACGGCGCCAATGCGGCGGGTTCCGGACACCGCGAATCCAAACAATCTACATCTCTGCGGGGATGCATCTGCTACTTCCGCCGGCTGCCGCCTGGCTTCCGTGCGCCCCCGTTTTGCTTCCACGGGCCTTCCGCTTCCGCGGAGGAAGAGATGTCGAATCCTCGATCCTCTGAAGGCGATCTTCATCTCATTGCGTAAGGTTCATCACATAGCGTAGGTTCATAACACTGCGCATCCTCCCTGGAGCTCCTCGTATGTCGAGGAGTTCGCGTGGCGACAGGGCAGAAATTAGCTTTCCCACCAAGAGACCAGACATCACGAAACAAACATGATGGACCCACGAACCCGGAAAGGGATAAAGACATGTGCAGCATGGTCACGTTTTCACGATACCCAACTGGGCGACATCTCACGAAACATCCCACGAGACACCCCGCGAAACATCCCACGAGACACCTCGCGAAACATTCCACGAGACACCTCAAGAACATTTCCACAAAGACACCCTTTGAACTTCCACGAGAAGAACCCCCACGAACAGGCAACCACTCAACCGCCCACGCCACGAACATTCCACGCAGGGGGTGCACTGGGGTGGTCTCCCGGGGGTGTGGTCGTGCTGGGGTGTGGTCGTGCTGGTGAGTGGTCGTGCTGGGGTGTGGTCGTGCTGGGGGGTGGTCGTGCTGGGGGGTGGTCGTGCTGGGGGGGTGGTCGTGCTGGGGGGTGGTCGTGCTGGGGGGGTGGTCGTGCTGGGGCGTGGTCGTGCCACCCCGCGAAACATCCCACGAGACACCTCACGAAACAATCCACGAGACACCTCACGAAACATTCCACGAGACACCCTTTGAAACATTCCACGAGACACCCCACGAACAGGCAACCACTCAACCAGACACGCCACGAAACATTCCACGGGGGTGCGACTGGGTGTGGTCGTGCTGGGGTGTGGTCGTGCTGGGTTGTGGTCGTGCTGGGGAGTGGTCGTGCTGGGGTGTGGTCGTGCTGGGGGGTGGTCGTGCTGGGGGGTGGTCGTGCTGGGGGGGTGGTCGTGCTGGGGGGTGGTCGTGCTGGGGCGTGGTCGTGCTGGGGCGTGGTCTTGCTGGGGCGTGGTCGTGCTGGGGCGTGGTCGTGCTGGGGCGTGGTCGTGCTGGGGTGTGGTCGTGCTGTGGTAAGGTCGTGCTGGGGTGCGGTCGTGCTGGGGTGTGGTCTTGCTGGGGTGGGGTCGTGCTGGGGGTATGGTCCGTGCTGGGGGGGTCTGTGCTGGGGTGTGGGTCCGTGCTTGGGTCTGGTCGTGCTGGGGTGTGGTCGTGCTGGGGTATGGTCGTGCTAGGAGTGGGGTCGTGCATTTCGCTCGAAGACTCCTGCCAAAATTCCCCTCCCCCAGGAAATTCGTCAAAAACAAAACAAATTAGTCGAAACATCCATTCCGAAATTCCTTCGCGCGGGGGGGGGCGCTTTTCCGCGTCGCGTCCGGCTCTGCAAAACAAGCGTTTTTCGCTCAGACAATCCTCGGCAACTCTGCGGAGCAAAGCGTTGCGCTCGAGACATCCTCAACACAGAAAAAACGAACAAAATGAATGGCCCCCCACCCCCAGAACCCTGTGATTTTATCGCTCGGATTTCAAAAACAAGCGTTTTTCGCTCGAGACATCCTCAAATTTTAATTCGCCGGCCTCCTTCGACCTCGTTATTTATCAGGGAAAAAATTCGCCGGCCTCCCTCAAGTTGGCACCGGGGGACAGGTTTACCTACTAAAAGAGAACCCTGGGCCCCAGCCCTTTCCGGGAAAATACAAAGCTCGACAAGACCCCTGGATCCCATCTCTCTGCGGCATTTTCTCAGCAGGATCAATCCGTGAGGGCTCCAGGGCCCGAAACAGGGCAAGATCACCCGTTGTGAAAAATGCAACGCCAGGAACTCGGGCCTAGCTTTCTGGAGAAGGCATCCCGAGGCTGGAAAAGCGTCGACGACCGAAAATAACGCCCGAAAACCTTTGACCTCGACCCAAATCATCTCTGACCGAAAACTTCTGATAGCGCTCTGGACGAACCCGTCGCGACCGCAAATTCCAAGAACGAGCGATCCGCCGACGTGTTCGACACCCTCGCGCACCGCCTCGACCACCTCTGGTCGCGACCGAAACTCGGCGTCCCCGGAACGTGCTACCGAACATGGCTGGCCGCGGATCTGATCTGGGAAACCTCGTCAGGCGGGGATGCCCGGGCCGTCCGACCCGGAGGGAGGCGGGGGACCCGGCCCAGCTCACGGGCTCCGATAGAAGCGCCCCGGGCTCCGGCGCAGCACGGCGGACTGGTAGTTGGCCCGGGAGGACCGCTGCGACGGCGGCGCGGACACGGTCAGCAGCGAATTCACGGCGGAGGCCCCGGGTAGCCCCGCCTATCGGCGGCGGCAGCGCGACGACGACGACGCGACAGCCCCAGATATGCCCTTGAGACCCTGGCGTCACAGTTTTGCTTGCACCCTCTGCCTTGCTTTTTTGGGCCCGGGGGCCGTCACGGACCGGCGCGGCTCGGACAGTGCAGCAGAAAGATGGGGTCTGCGGGCTCTGGCCGTGCTTTTTGTTGTGGGATGCCGCGTTTTTGCTCACGACGTCGACTCTCAGGGTCGGAATTTTTGTTCCGTCCCTGCTTTTTCGGCCCCTATGGGGGGCCCGCGATCGAGCCCCAGGGCCAACGAAACCAGACCTGAGATGAAGAGGTACTCCCCTGAGGAACGGACCAGGACCTCCTGGACCCACGCATGAAAAACAAAGATCACATCGCCGCGAAGCCTGCGGGGTGCCAGAAAGATACGGACACCGCTACTCCCCCGACCTCTCCTGGGGTGCATTCTGCCTCGAGCTTCGAGGAGAATCCAGCCGTGGCGACGAGGGCTCTCCAGAACGAGCACCAGAGTTGGTACACGCGGACAGAGGGCGAAACGCTGGCGGCCGCGCCGTTTCGCCCTCTGCCCGCGAGTCAAGGAGAAAACGTTTGGCACACTTCCTGGAGTCTGCAGTTCGCCGCGACGGCGACACGGGGGCCCTGCAGCGAAGCCGCGGACAACGACGCCGTCCGAGGGCCTCGATCGCGGGTCGGACGACCAGCGGGAAGTCGCACTGCGCCAGCATCGTTGCCCATGGGTCCGCACAGACTTTTTGGATCGGCGCTGGACCCCCCCCCCTAGCGCGCGGAGCGCGCCAGGGGCGGCGCCAGAGGCGCCGCCAGGGTTGGGTCGGGCCTGTCCCTCTCGAAGTGTAGGGGGATATTGGACGAAAATAAGAAATAGTCATAGAAGACTCCAAGATGTATGCAAAAATAATCCGAAAAACGTTCCCAGACTATTTTTACATCATTTTTGAAGATTCCTCCTGTAGAGGGACAGGCCCGACTTAAGGTTGGACCCCCCTCCCCAGCGCGCAGAGCGCGCCAGGGGCGGAGACCAGAGGCGCCGACAGGGGGGCCCAGCGCCGATCCAATGCACCGGGGCGGAACTCGGAGAAAGTGTGTGTGTGTGTGTGTGTGTGTGTGTGTGTGTGTGTGTCTGTGTGTGTGTGTGTGTGTCTGTGTGTGTCTGTGTGTGTCTGTGTGTGTCTGTGTGTGTGCCGCCATTGCCCCCGCAGGGGCTGCTCTGGCGCCTGCTCCTCCTCCTCCTCCTCCTCCTCCTCCTCCTCCTCCTCCTCCTCCTGCTCCTCCTCCTCCCCCTCTCCCCCTCACCCCCCTCCTCCTCTTGCTCCTCCTCCTCCTCCTCCTCCTCCTCCTCCTCCTCCTCCTCCTCCTCCTGCTTCCCCCGCTAAGGCAGCGAACCACCCCACGGGGGTTGCTCTGGCGCCGAGGGGCGCTAGTGCAGCGAACGGCCTGGCGGCGGGGCCAAGATCAGCCGCACGCGGCAGACTTCGAAGCACCCCCTTTTCCCCCCCCCACCCCCCTGCTTCGCCCGACCAGCCTCTCCCGGGGCGCGCCCGGACCAGGACTTCGACCCAGACGCCCGCCGATGTGATTTTGAACCGGTCGCGGCCCCAAGAACTCGCCGTCGCTCGAACGTCCATTCGCCGTGCATTTGTCAACTTCGTGCGTGCGTTTTTTGCAAGATGGTCCGAGATGCTCCTAGGTGGTCCTCCTCGAGGAAAGAATGCACACGTCCGAGCGATGCCAAGAAAAATCCCAACCAATCTCCCTAGGGTAGTCTCGAATCCCAGATCCGCTTTTTGATGACCCCGGGGCCAGATGACGAGCCCCAGAGGCCGAAAGGAAGGAAAGCACCGCCGCGATTGCAAAGAAAACAAATCGTGGGGGGGTCGGGGGAGCGAACCCGGCCGTGGCGGCGAGGCCGAGGAGAAGAAGGATAGGACTGAAGACCCCTACGATCGAGAGAGGAAAAGGGGCCGGAGCACTGGCCGCAGGCCGCCGCCGACGGCGCCGACGAAGCCACGACGCCGACGCAGTCAGGACGACGCAAACGCTGTCGACGACAACGGCGCCGACGCAGACGACACCGACGACGCTAGCGACGCCGACGATCCTGAGAGCCTGGCGTCGCATGTTTGTTCGCCACGGGCGTCTCTTCTTTGTTTTGGACCCCCGGGCCCTCACGGATCGATCTGGCTGGAAAAATGCCGCAGAAAGATAGGGTCCAGGGCGCCGGTCGAGCTGTTCTACGATGATGCAGTGCTTCTCGTGACATCGGATCTCAGGGGACGTTCCTCCCTCCTCCCCCGCTCCCCATTTGCTCCTCCCTCTCCCTTCCCGAAGGTCTCTTCTGGAGGCCTGGACTGGGCCAGAGGCGCAAAGAAGTTTCATGGCTAGCCGCAGATTTCATACGCCGCGCGCCAGCTGTGCTGCCGTGTGCGCAGGGCGGGGGGCAGGCTATACTGCGCCCCGTCCTGCCTGCTCTCCTTCCGCCTCCTCCTCCTCCTCCTCCTCCTCCTCCTCCTCCTCCTCCTCCTCCTCCTCCTCCTTCTCCTCCCCCTCCTCCTCCTCCCCCACCTCCTCCTCCTCCTCCTCCTCCTCCTCCTCCTCCTCCTCCTCCTGCTTCCTCCTGCTCCTGCTCCTCCTCCTCTCCTCCTCCTCCTCCTCCTCCTCCTCCTCCTCCTCCTCCCTCCTCCTCCTCCTCCTCCCTCCTTCCTCCTCCTCCGTCCTCCTCCTCCTTCCTCCTCCTCCTCCGCCTCCGCCTCCTCCTCCTCCTCATCATCATCATCATCAATCATCATCATCATCCATCAGCATCATCATCATCATCATCATCTCAATCATCATCACATCATCATCATCATAATAATCATGGGCATCAGCTCATAAATCATCATCATCATCATCAGCATCTCATCATCATCACTTTTCATCATCATCATCATCCACATCATCGTCATCATCATCGTCACCCATCATCATCATCATCATCAGCATCATCAGCATCATCATCATCATCATCATCATCATCATCATCAGTATCCATCATCATCATCATCATCATCATCATCACAATCATCAACATCATCATCAATCATCATCATCATCCAATCATCATCACATCATCCATCATCATCATCATCATCATCATCCCCCTCCCTCTCCTCCTCTTCCTCGTCTCCCTCCCTCCTCCTCTCCTTCCGCCTACTCTTCCTCCTCCTCTACCCCTCCCCTCCACCTCCTCCTCCTCCTCTCTTTCCTCCTCCTCCTCCTCCCCCCTCCTCCTTCCTCCTCCTCCTCCTCCTCCTCCTCCTCCTCCGCCTCCTCCTCCCTCCTCCCTCCTCCTCCCCCTCCTCCTACCTTCTCCTCCTCCTCTCTCCTCCTACCCCTCCACTCCTCCTCCTCATCATCATCATCCTCCTCCTCCTTCCCCCTCCTCCTCCGTCTCCTCCTCCCTCCTCCACTCCTGCCTCCTCCTCCTCCTCCTCCTCCCCCCCGCCCCTCCTCTTCCTCCTCTCCTCCTCCTCCTCCTCCTCTCCTCCTCCTCCTCCTCCCCCTCCTCCTCCTCCTCCTCCTCCTCCTCCGCCTTCTCCTCCTCCTCCTCCTCCTCGTCCTCCGCCTCCTCCTGCCACTTCTTTCTCGACCACTGGGTGCTCTGCGGATAATACAGAAAAGTGCAGCTGATTCCGTGCCCCTTCGTCCGACCCGACGCGACGGTGACGCCGATACCGACGCCGACGGCGGCCCCGCCTTGACCAGCGCTGGCCACTCGGCCTCCTCGTCGGGGCGGTCCCCGAGGAGAAGTTGGGCCCGCGCCAGCTCTTGCATGCACTCCTCCGTCACCACCTGGGGCAAAACCAGGCAGCACCGAATCGAAAAGTCGGATCGGAATGTGCGTCGAATCGGGCCGCATCGGCACGGAGTCGAAATCGAACGGGCTTGCGCCAGGATGCACGACAACGCCGTGCAAGCATCGGGCAAACGGATTGTCGCAATATCGGAATCGAATCGAAACGAGCCGGCCAGAGCGGACGTCGAGCTGTATCGACCGGATCGAGAATAGCCCCTACGTTTAGGTAGGACATGTCCCCCTACAGGCGGATTTTGGGCGAAAACTAAAACATACCAACCACACATTCCCAAATGGTCAAAAATAATCGAAAATCGTCACCCGACAATTTTTTGACTATTTTTGAATATTCCTCCAATAGAGGGACGTGCCCGACTTAAGAATAACCCCTACGTGGGTGTCTCGGACCGTCGGGAAACACACACCTCCGATGCTAGAATCTCTGATCAGTTTCCTTCGACTTCGGCCCCCAAGCTTAGGTCGGGCGTGCCCCCCTACAGGCGGATTTGGGACGGAACATTGAAAATAGGCAAAAATGCTCAACGCTGCGCCCGAGGGGTGAACACACACATTCTGCTGGCCACGAGGCATAGCATCGCGACGGAAGACACACACACACACACACACATCTACCAAACTCGCCAACGCAACAAACCTGACAAACATGCCATTTCACTCCACTCGTCAAGCCGTAAAGCGTGTGGGCGGCACACGACTGTTCTGCTGCAGTCGCAACCTGGCTAGGCAGCAGGCCAGACCACGCACCATAGCACTCCACTCGTCACGCGGCACCGCCCGGGATGCGAAGCTGCTGGCATTCTGTTGCGTTCGCCACGTCCACGGCACTCGTCGCGTGGCCACGCCGCCCTCTGCTCGGCACGGGGCAGCGCCCGAGGAGCGACACCCAGCCACTCTGTTCTGTCGGCCACGTGGCATCGCACAGCGGCGGAGGATCGGGAATGGACAGAACCCCCTTTAGTAAAACGTGGTTTAGTGAAAACGACCTGAGGCCCAAACCTGGCGGGCGCAAGCCTGGAAAATAACGGCCGCGGCGCCCTCTCGAAAGCCGAAAACGGACAATTCACTAATCGACGTGTCACTGTTGGGGGTTCTGTCCAGCCCCGAAGGACATGAACGTCTACAGTCCCACCTGGAACAGAAGAACATCCTCCCAGAACATGAGGCCCTCCGTCGGCCAAGGGGCGCAGAACATCCAAGGGCACCATCCCCAGGGTGCACAAGAGCATCAAACAGACACGGAGATTATCAGGGCACCAGCCCCCAACCGACCTCGATCTTGTACCTCGGTCCGGCTGTTCCAAACTCGCCAAACGAAGCAGACTGGGAAACATACAATTTCACTATACTCGTCACGCCGTAAGGCTTGTGGGCGAAACACAACTACGGTCTTCTTGCCGCCACGTGGCTAGGCAGCAGGCGGGAACACACACCATGCCACTCCACTCGTCACTCGGCAACGCCGGGGAGGCGAAACCAATACTATACACTTGCGCTCGCCACGTGGCCGCGCAGCGTGGCGGATAAACAACAAATTGGACTTTACTGGTCACGTGGCCACGCCTGGAGGGCGAAAGAAAGATCATGCCACCCTACTCGGCGCGGGGAAACGCCCGAGGGGCGAAACACCGGTTCTATCTTGCAGGCCACGTGGCATGGCGTCGCGACGGAAGACATGCACGTCTGCCAAGCTCGCCAACGCGGCAGGCTGGGAATCATACAGTTTCACTCCGCTCGTCGAGAGGCTTGTGGGCAAACGCACACACAAGTATTCCATCCTACCCGCCACGAGACAAGGGCAGCAGGACAGAACACATACCGTGCAACTCTACTCGTCACGCAGCAGCGCCAGGATAGCGAAACTCATGATATGCCTTTGCGCTCGCCACGCGGCCGCGCAGTTTGAGGGAATACAGGGCAGTTTTTAATACATGGGATTTTAAACACGTCTGATTTTAATGCATGGTTAATTTACGAATAAAATGTTGCATGCACTCATCGTTGTTTCTTTAACTGAGTCACTGCATGATTTATTACATGATCCGCACGCGGAGCATGTATTAACATGATGGACCCACGAACCCGGAAAGGGATATAGACATGTGCAGCATGGTCACGTTTTCACGATATCCAACTGGGCGACACCTCACGAAACATCCCACGAGACACCCCGCGAAACATCCCAGGAGACACCTCACGAAACAACCCACGAGACACCTCACGAAACATTCCACGAGACACCCCGTGAAACATTCCACGAGACACCCCACGAACAGGCAACCACTCAACCAGACACCCCACGAAACATTCCACGGGGGTGCGACTGGGTGTGGTCGTGCTGGGGTGTGGTCGTGCTGGAGTATGGTCGTGTTGGGGTGTGGTCGTGCTGGGGTGTGGTCGTGCTGGGGTGTGGTCGTGCTGGGGTGTGGTCGTGCTAGGGGGGTGGTCGTGCTGGGGGGTGGTCGTGCTGGGGCGTGGTCGTGCTGGGGCGTGGTCGTGCTGGGGCGTGGTCGTGCTGGGGTGTGGTCGTGCTGTGGTGAGGTCGTGCTGGGGTGTGGTCGTGCTGGGGTGTGGTCTTGCTGGGGTGGGTCGTGCTGGGGTGGGTCGTGCTGGGGTGTGGTCGTGCTGGGGTGTGGTCGTGCTGTGGTGGGGTCGTGCTGGGGTGGGGTCGTGCTGGGGTGTGGTCGTGCTGGGGTGTGGTCGTGCTGGGGTGTGGTCGTGCTAGGGTGGGGTCGTGCTGGGGTGGGGTCGTGCTGGGGTGTGGTCGTGCTGGGGTGTGGTCGTGCTGGGGTGGTCGTGCTCGTGGTCGTGCTGGGGTGGGGTCGTGCTGGGGTGGGGTCGTGCTGGGGTGTGGTCGTGCTGGGGTGGTCCGCACCCTGTGATTTATCGATCGGGTCGTGCTGGGGTGTGGTCGTGCTGGGGTGTGGTCGTGCTGGGGTGTGTCGTGCTGGGGCTGTGCGTGCTGGGGTGGGGTCGTGCTGGGGTGTGGTCGTGCTGGGGTGTGGTCTTGCTGGGGTAGGGTCGTGCTGGGGTGGGTCGTGCTGGGGTGTGGTCGTGCTGGGGTGGTCGTGCTGGGGTGGGGTCGTGCTGGGGTATGGTCGTGCTAGGGTGGGGTCGTGCATTTCGCTCGAGACATCCTGCCAAAATTCCAGGAAATCGTACAAAAACAAACGAATTAGTCGAGACATCATCGAAATTCCTTCGCGCGGGGCGCTTTTCCGCGTCGCGGTCGGCTCTGCAAAACAAGCGTTTCGCTCGAGACATCCTCGGCAAACTCTGCGGAGCAAGCGTTTCGCTCGAGACATCCTCAACTCTGCAAAACCAGCGCCTCGCTCGAGACATCCTCAAGAAATTCTGAAAAACAAGCGTTTCGCTCGAGACTTCCTCAAATTTTAATTCGCCGGCCTCCTTCGACCTCGTTATTTATCAGGGAAAAAATTCGCCGGCCTCCCTCAAGCAGGCACCGGGGGATTAGGTTTACCAACTAAAAGAGAACCCTGGGCCAAAGCCCTTTCCGGGAAAAACGGCACTGTAACGTTGCCACGCCTGGGGGCAACAGAAAGATCACACCACCCTGCTCGGCACGGGGAGGAACAACAACAGCACAGATTCTGTGATGCTGGCCACATGGCATCGCATCGCGGCAGAAAACATACAAGCCTACCAAACTCGCCGACGCAGCAATTTGGGACGAATATCACGTCACTCTACTCTTCACGCCGTGACGCCTGTGGGCGGAACGCAACTATTACATTCTACGCACCACGTGGCTAGGTAGCAGGCGGGAACACACACCATGCCACTCTACTCGTCACTCGGCAACGCCGGGGAGGCGAAACCAATACTATTCGATGTCGCTCGCCGCTTGGACGCGCAGCGTGGCGGGTACACAACCTATTCGACTTTACTGGTCATGTGGCCACGCCTGGAGGGCGAAAGAAAGATCATGCCACCCTACTCGGCGCGGGGAAACGCCCGAGGGGCGAAACACTGGTTCTATTATGCTGGCCACGCGGCGGAAGCCATATACGTCTACCGAACTCGCCAACACAACGAGCTGGGACAACTACCATGTCCCTCTACTCGCCACGACATAAGAGCCTGCAGGGGCGAACACATGTCATTCCATTACATTTCCACGCAGGGCCCGGAAGACATACCATTATTCTCGCCTCAGGCGGGACCAGCGATAACGCCAGGAGGGACTAACAAGTAGCATTTCATTGCACTCGCCACGTGCCACGCAGCAGACCGACGGGGAAAAACCATTCCACTGTACTCGGGCGGGGCGGACAACAAATCCATTCCACTCGAACCGTCACTCAACAACGCCTGCACCCAGCAGGCGTCTGCTCGGCACGTGGCAACGCCCTGTGAGCGAAACACAAAGCTATTGCATTCTACTCGCCAGGTGGCTGCGCTATGTAGGTGGGAAAACGCTGAAGCACAAACAAACACGTGCCGCTCCACCGCGCTCGTCACGCGGCAGCGCCTGGAGGGCGAGACCAACGTTATGCTCCAATGCACTCGCCACGTGGCCACGCCGCGCGGCGGAGAAGCAACCCCCCCCCCCGACTCTGCTCATCACGTGTGGCCACTCGGGGCGGGGGCAGGGGGCCCGCGCGCGCAGGAGAGACAGTCTCGACTGCCGAGGGGGGGAGAGGAGGGAGGAGGCGCCGAGAGCCTGGGAGGGAAGGGGAGGGCCTCGACGGCCCGCGGGCGGGAGGGAAATGCGGGGGGGGAAACCGAGGGGGGGGGGGGGAGGGGAACCTGGAAAGGAGATAGTCTTCGACGATATGATTCTTCAACTCGATTTTTTTTTCCGCTGTCGGCCTCCGTGGGCCGTTTTTCAGACCCTGGACCATCAGAGCGGATCCAGGACGTCAAACTGCCGCTGGGGAAGGAGCCCAGACCTCTGGGGCCGCGGATTGAAACAAAAGCAAATCAGCGACGCAAGAAAACGGTGTTGTCTTAGTTGACTGCCCGTGGGGGGGGCTCAGACCCCCCTCTTCGTGTTGAGGGGGGGTTGCCCCCCCCTTGCGCTTCCTTCGCTGGGCATCGCTCCATCAGAGGTCCGGGCCCATTCCCTGGGATCAGCTCTTCATCCTAGCGCGCCTCCTCCAACAGGAACTGGTGCGCTATACCTTAGAACCCCCATGGGCTGGGGCCAGCGCGACATTCGGCGCGCGCCCTTCGAGTTACCCCTCTGCTGCCTGCTTGCCTGGCCCACGTCTCGCGTGACATAAATGGCTCTTGCGCTATACCAGATGGACCGTCGCGCCACGGGATGCGTCGGGAGCAGCGGCGGTCATCGAGCAAGGTCGCGGGCAGGGCTTAAGGCAGGCCTCCCAGGGACCGGGACTGGTAAACAAAGTCCATCATCTGGGGAATAGTCTTTGTAAACCCAGCCTGCCTCCCTGCGAGACGCCTGCACCCACCATGTCCAAGCGCTGAACAACAGACATCCCGGAACTTGTCCGTGCGCGGGTGCCGTCGTACCGAACAATTGGATTCCGCTGGTGGCCACTCCTGGGTTGGCTTCACAGCGCAAACTGGCGACCCTTTCAATTTTTGTCCTGGGAAGGGTTAGTAGAACTAGCCAAACTTCTGAATAACCACGCTGTTCGACGGTCCCTGGGACGGAGAAAACCCCTGGAGGCCGAACATTGGCCAAACCTTCCGTCAACTTCGAGCCTCCCCCTCCGCGCGCCCTCCAAGAAATCGCTTGTTCAGCGCCTGTTGTTCAGGGTGGGCCCGCGCACTAAAACATCACATTGTCGAGACGGACGTCTGTCAGCCAGTCCACATCCACGGCCTCGCGGTCCGAGCTGCTCCGCCGCGGCTCCACACGATCGGTACACTCGGCGGCGCTGCGCGGAGAGACCCCGAGGCGGGACGTACATCCACGGGGGCGCAAAATGCGACGGACTCGCCGCCGCGGCGTTCAGACCGCGAGGGCACGGACACACGGATGTATACCTGCTTACCTTAGTAGAGGCCTCCTGGAAGGGGTCCGAGGAGAGGGGCTCGGTGGATCGAGTCGCATCGCCGATGCATCGCCGACGTCGGGGGTGAAGCTGCGACTTCGGCGTGGAGCGAAAATCGGGCCTCACATCGAGCCGAATCACCGACGCATCTTCGGCGACACGCGATCCTCCGACCCCATCTTCTCTAATCCCATCTGGGATGCCCAGAAGTAGACGCATACGATACTCAGTCTTGCATTAAGAATCTAGGGGCACATGAATCGCCGATCCCTGAGGGGGATATGAACTTTCCGTGGGGCACCTGCTGGCAGGCCGGTTTCTGTTGTAAGCGGCCCACTGTGTGTTCGTCGCTCGCGACCTGGGGTTCTTTAGACATGGCGCGTTTCGCCCCTACGGCCATTTGGCGTCTTCGCAGTCTTCGGGCCCACTGGCCGAAGGGAAGACAGGCCACTGATGGCCGAGCCAGGCCGCCGTCGCGGGCGGGCGCGCGCAAGGCGACGACGCTGCAATGCAGACAGGAGGAGGAGGAGGAGGAGGAGGAGGAGGAGGAGGAGGAGGAGGAGGAGGGAGGAGGAGGAGGAGGAGAAGGAAGAAGAGGGAAGAGGAGGAGGGGAGGAGGAGGAGGAGGAGGAAAGAGGAGGAGAAGAAAGGAGGAGGAGGAGGAGGAGGATGAGGAGGAGGAGGATGAGGAGGAGGAGGAGGAGGAGGGGGAGGACGAGCTATGAAGGCTTCTTAGAGGCGTGGAATGGGAGCCCTCTGCCTTCTCAGAAGCCGCTCCCGGGCTTCTCGGGAGGCCGCCTCCCTCGCGTCCGCGGAGTCTGCACCGCTTCGCGCGCTGGGGGGGGCCAGCCTTCAAGCCCGAGCCGTCCTCTGGCGGCCCAGGGGCCCAGCGAGGGCCCTCGTAGGCCGAACGCGGCCAACGACCTCCTCGCGGCGTGATCTGGAGGTATCCGCGGCGAGGGGGGAGGCACTGGGCCTGCAGGACCCCCACCCCCCCGCGCGCCGAGAGCCCATCGCCCGCACCACCTCGAGGCTCTCGCCCCTGGCGCAAACCTCCCGTCGCGAGCTGTGCCCACGACGAGGGGAGGCCTGACACCGGGGGATACAATCGGACTCGATTGGGCAGGACACGCGGGAGGACACAAGACCCTTCCGAGGGCCACATTGCCACAGGAATGTCGGAAGCATGGGTCGCGAGACGCAGGACACAAGGGCACCCTTGATTTGGCAAGGTCGACCTACTAATCTGGGCCGGCTGTATGTCGACCCTTGTTCCCCGGCTTCGTGAGGTCTTCGAGTGGAACAAACATGTGCGGGCCCAGCCTGGGGATACACGTCGTTCATTTCTAATCGTGCTCATTTCTGATTGCGTTCGTTTCTAATTATTCCTGCCCCCTAGTGGCCAGGAAGAGGCCCAGGATAGAACAATTAGAAATGAAAGGATCTTGGCCCCCCAAAAAATCAAAGAACTCTCGAATCACTAGAAATTAACCATGTGTATACTCTGGGGGCGTCCATCCTCAATCTGGGTGCATCCGAAGAGCCCCCTGCGGGTGCATCCGCGATTTCCCTTCCTTGGCGTGATTTTTCTGGGAAGGGCGGGGGAGTGGGGAGGGGAATCGCCTGTGGTCTGCGACTGCAGGCCCCCCTGTGCGCCTGGATCTGCTTCCGCACCCGCTGCCAGAGACGAGAGGATCGGAGAGCCAACCCTACCCGAGATCCGTGGGATGGAGACGATCGAGGGCTTCCCCCCCTCGCAAGCAGGGGCATTCGCATGTTGACATGTTTGTCTCAGCACCTGGGCCTACACGCCAGCGCATGAGAAGAGAAACTAAATAAGAGACCGCACTCAAACGAGAGGCCTTCCAAATTGAAGGGGCCCCAGGACACACAAATAAATACACAAAAATGACAGGATTCCCCATATTTTTCCATATTTTCTGGGTTTCTGTCTTCCCCCCCACTTCCCATATTTTCCCATATTTTCGGGGGAATCGACGATTAATTGTGTCTCTGTGTTTTTTCCCTCCTGACAAATGGAGTCCGATGGGGTGGGGTCGGATGATCGCGCCGCATCGCCGATGCATCGGCGATGCATCGGCGACGTCGGCTTGGAGGAAGCCGGGCCCCACATCGATCCGCACCGCCGAGGACCCCGCGAGGCGGTGGGAGGCCCGGACGCTTTCTTGAAAACATCATTTTGTTTGCAAAGCCCGCTGGGGGCCTGTGGCTCGGGAGCGAGGAGAGAGGGCAGCAGGGGGAAGGGCACCGCAAGAGGAGGAGCAGCAGCTTGACGTCGCTCGGACGTCCATTTCCCGTGCACTTTTCGGTCTCATGCGTGTTTTTTTTGTGCTCGATGGTCCAGGGTGGTCTTCAAGGGTCCTCGGCGAGAAAAAAGTACACATGTCCGAGAGATGCCAGCAGCAGCAGCAGCAGCAGCAGCAGCAAAAGCACCGCAGAGCAGGCACAGGCAGGCCCCCGCGCGCGCGCCTGGATCCTCTCCCGCACCCGCTCCAGGCTCGCCCGCGCCTGCGCCGCCACGGCGGGGTCCGCCCACCTCTCTTTCTGGCAGGCGGGGGGGGGGGAGGAGGAGGAGGAGAAGGAGGAGGAGGAGGAGGAGGAGAAGGAGGAGGAGGAGGAAGAGGAGCAGGAGGAGGAGGAGGAGGAGGAGGAGGAGGAGGAGGAGGATCGCATGCAAATGGCGGACGCCCCGGCGGCGCGCGGCACGCCGGCGCCGAGCCACGAGGCGCCGCGACGCCCCGACGACGCGCGCACCGTGATTTTTGCTTGCGCGGGGGCCGCCCACGAGCCTCCCGCAGGGATGGCACCGAGGAGCTCTCGCACGGCTTTCTGCAACGGGTGGGCGGGTTTCCCGGGCTTGCGCCGCGCTGGCGCCGTGCCCGCTCGGGGGGGCCTCGTGGGCGCTCCGTGCGCTAGGCGGGCTTGAGTATAGGTTTCGCCGCGCTGGCGCCTGTGTAAAGGCAGACGCCAGGGCGGCGCGCGGCGCGCCGGCGCCGCGCCACGAGACGCCGACACGATGGATATATTTCTATACATGCATTTCTAGGCAGATGTGTATAGCTGTAAATGTGTATATATATAATTATATAGACATGCGTATATAAGTTTGTACGTACGTACGTCTGTATGTATGTGTATGTTTGTTTGGTTGATTGCTTGTGTGTATGCATGTGTGTATTCATGCATGCATTCATGATTGTATGTGTGTACTTGTGCATGTATGTATGTGTACATGTATGGATGCATGTACGTATGGGTGCAAGTATGTAATCACATGCATATACACTGTGTATATTTATGTGCGTTGTATTCACATTCTTATGTAGGCATGCGTATATATACGCACGAATGAATGCCGATACTCCGATATATATATATATATATATATATATAAATATTGCCCTCCACCCACCGAACGAATTTCGGCCACCCTGGACGCCCAATGCGGCCCCAAAGAGGTACAATACGGTTCGCAAACGGCCCAAGAGCGCTCCAAGACGGCCTCAGATGGCTCCACGACAGTTCAAGAAACTCCCAAAACGTCCAAAGAGGCCCCAAAGTAGCTCCAAGTCAGCCCAGGCCCCCCACAAGACGCCCTAAAGTTCCCCAAGAGAACTCCAAACAAACCAACATCGCTCCACTCCTTGAATAAAGCGTGCATGTATAGCCATGCTCGATCTTTGTTTTTTCCCTGCCAAGGCTCTGCCTAGAAGGGTTCTTACTCTCTGGGCTTAAAGGGACCGGACAGTGGAAAGCGCCCGGGGCGGTTCCCCCCGTATCCGCCCCGCGGTTCCCCCAGTTACGTCCCCTTAGCTTAGCGTTGCTTATCTCATCTTAGCTTAGCTTATTTCATCTTAGCTTAGCTTAGCTTCATCTTAGCTCAGGTTTATCTTAGTTTAGCTTACCTTCATCTTAGCTTCGCTGAGCTTTAGCATAGCAGAGCACAGCATAGCACAGCATAGCATATCATAGCACAGCACAGCACAGCAAAGCATAGCGCAGCTTAGCATAGCATAGCATAGCACAGCGCAGCATGACATAGCACAGCTTAGCATAGCATAGCATAGCATAGCGCAGCATAGCATATAATAGCATAGCCTAGCATAGCATAGCATAGCGCAGCATAGCATAGCATAGCATAGCATAGCATAGCAACTAATGCTGCTTTCCTAGGGGCTCCAACTTCTAGGTAGGGTCGCACTGGGGTAATCTTTCCAAGACTCCATAACGATTCAAGACGCCCCCAAAGTCGGCCCAAAACTGACCGAGGCCCCACAAAGCCCCAAGAGGCCCCCAACACAGCCCCAGATAGCCCCAGGACGGTCCAAGATAATCCCAAGACGGCCCAAGAGAGCCCAGAGACGGCCCAAGACGACCCCAAAAGGCGTCCAAGAAACAAGACATCCCCAAGAAGCCCCCAGCAGAGCCCCACGACGGCCAGAGCCTCCCGAGACGGCCTACACGTCCAAACGGTCCGAGAGGGCCCCACGACGGTCCAGAAGTGCCTCTAAGCAAACCTAGAAGCGCCAAATAGCCAGGAACCCAAGGGGTCGGCGGATTCGAACCTATCAGTTGGACCCCTCAGTTCTTCACATGGGGCTGTGCTTGGATTCCCTGTCACGCGGATGGTTTTGCATCCTTATCATGCAGCAATTCTCGTAAGCATGTTTTTTGACTTGGTTATCCCACAGGTGGTGCTGTCTGAATCTTCAACCGGAGGATTCGATGTCGCTCTCCACTTGCAACTTGCCAGGCCAATGTGATTGCCTTCGGGCAAATCGACTTCTTGTACCTTGCAGAGCATAGATTCGAATGCGGGGTCGGAACTGCACACAAGAAAGCGGCGGAAGGATCAAACAAAACCTTCCAGTAGAACCCAACAGGCACTCAGAGACCACCAAAAGCTTCAAAAACTCTGGCAAGACTCCAGGAAAGCACCCCAGGGAGGACGCAACGCAATAACATCCGAACATGGCGTTCGCAAGCGATTAATAATAATGGAGAGGGAGCATGAGGGACAGGTGGTGTATATTTGT